GTCACTTTTGAGTTTAAGGATATTACTAGCCTCAAGTCTGACATGTTGAAGATCGTTTAAAATAACAATCTTTAATAGGTTGAACAGGCCCACTGGGACACTGTAACAGAGCTGACAAATCGTTAACAGAAACTGACAGAATGGAAACTTATTAAAACCAAGATCGCATTCTCTGGTCTGATGATGTACTCCAGCCCCTGCAGTGCCCACTGGTCTCTAAAGGTCTTTGCTGTGCCAGTGAACACCACTTGCAACCTCTCAATAGACACCCAAGTGTGAACATAACAGGGGATAAGGGCAGGCAATCGGACGCAGCAACCACCTCTTGGATTATGTAATGGGATACAAACCAAAGTCCCTAAAACATTAATCAGGAGTTTCAGGTTTCTAGCCTAGTATCAGCACCCGTAAACCATTGTTGTCAGGCGCTGGACTTTTTTTTTAGTGTGCTCTGTTTAGTAACTTTGATAGTTGTAATTATTTTTAATAAAGTGGATTTCTGTGAAGATTGAACTTTTTTTTAATGTTATTGGAAGTTGTTATCATCCTGTGATCAGGTTCATGGTTGTTGAAAGCAGTTTGTTAAAGGGAGATTTGGGGCTTATACTGTCCAACATTTGACACATGGGATAACCACTAAGGAATGATTCAGATGTCTCAGTGGGTCTGAGGCAGTAGGAGCATGAATGTTGATGTTGTGGTTGTGTTAATGCAACAAATATCTTCAGAACAGCAAATTTCTAAACATCTTAATTATTTTAACTGTCAAAGAGTAAATACTAACAAATTACACTAAATCTTGCATCACATAAAAAAGAACCATTTCACTGACAGAACTCAAGTTTCAATAAAATAATCCCTGGGATGTACATTTTTTCCTTTTGGCTCAAAGCTATTGGCTTCAGAACCAACAAGAAGCAGCTATTAATTTAATTCTAAAAGCAAAGACTTTGCCTCAACCCTGGTGGATGTTAAAAGCCTTTTCGAGTCTCAAGTTCTCTATGGAGTTTTGTCATCTATCTTCCAGGCTAGTCCTATTCCATTTAACAAGTGGTTGCCTTTTAACACGTGACTGACTTTGATTTGCATGTTTAGTGAGGTTTGGATTTCAAGGAGTTCACGCCCTTTGCAGAATAATGGGATAATGTTTGACAAGCATTCAAGCATTTTCAGCTGATGCACAAAATGCTCATTACATTAGTATCACTCCAGTGAATATGCAGTAAGTACAGTGCTGCTAGTGGAGACTTTTTTTTAACATAAAACAAGATCTAGGTGCTTATACTGTGTGAAAAAGACTTGCCGATTAGCAAGTTCCCTCTAAAGATAAACACACTGAAACCAGCTCAGAAGTCACGCAATGCCAGGTGATAGTCCCAACAGGTTTATTTGAAGTCACAAGTTTTTGGAGCGCTGCTCCTTTGTCACTTCACCTGACAAAAGAGCAGTGTTTCAAAAGCTTGTGATTTAATCTAAACCTGTTGGACTATAACCTGGTGTCGTGTGATTTTTGACCCTGTCCACCCCAGTCCGATATCGGCACCTCCACATCAACACTGAAACCAGTTTTACAATACTGAATTTTCTCACATTTTTAAGGAAGTAATTGTTGGCCTCAAGGAGTTGATTATTAGTATGAGACAATCGATTCTCATCAAGTCATTTCTGTCATGGAGTTAAACTTGCATCCATGATCCAGCAATTTTTCCTGAGCAAATACCACAGAAAGAATTGAGGATTATGCATTTCTGAGTAGACTTCCCAGCCAGTTTTTGGTGTAGTTTTGTGAGGCAAAAAGTTTTACTTTTATGAAGTCTTCAACTGTTCCTCAGTATTTGTTTGTTTTGATTCATTCACAGGATGAGGGCATCACTGGCTAGGCTAGCATTTCTAGCCTATTCCTAATTGCCCAGAGGGCAGTTAAGAGTTAACCACATTGCTACGGGTCTGGAGTCACATGGACACCAAACCAGGTTAGGATGGCAATTTCCTTCCTCTGAGGAAGGGTCACCAGACCCGAAACGTTAACTCTGTTTTCTCCTTCACAGATGCTGCCAGACCTGTTGAAATTTTTCAGCAGCTTTGTTTTTGCTCCTGATTTACAGCATCCATTCTTTTGGTTTTTATTTAGATTTTTCCTGACAATTGACTCATGGTTATCATTAAACCCTTAATTCCTGATTTTTATTGAAGTCAAATTCTACCATTTGCCATGGTGGAATTCGAACCCAGGTTCGCAGAACATTACCTGGTCCAGTTGCAATGCCACTAGGCCATTGCATCTCTGACATTAGGCCATAAAAGCAATGAACCAAATATTTGACCTCCAGACCCAGAACATGTCTGTTTTGCTCTCAAGATTAGTTTGCGACATACAATAGGGATCCTTCAGCCCATCATGTCTGTGCCACCAAAAATATGCTACTATCCACACTCGTTCCATGTTCCTACACCAGGCCTCTAACCTTGAATGTTAGGACGCTTCAGGTGATCATCCAAGTACTTTTTAAAGATTAAGAGGTTTCCTGCCTTAGCTACACTTCCAGGCAGTGCATTCCAGATCCCTATCTTTGCATAAATCCCCTCTAAACCACCTATGTTTCACTTTAAAATGATGTCCCCTTGTTATTGCCCCTTCACATAAGGGGAGCAGCTGCTTTTTATTCACCCTGTCCATGTAGAGTATTTTAACCTGTACAGTGTGTCCCGAATATGTGTGCAGAACATAGAAGACTTTTCTATTGTTTATAAGAAATATTGATGCCATTGACAGTCTAAGGATAAAGGTCAGGCTATTTGGGATTGAGATGAGGAGAAATTTCTTTCCGAGAGTGGGGAGCCTGTGGAATTCTCTGCCACAGAAAGCCAGTTGAGGCCAAAGCATTAAATGTTTCCAAGAAGGAGTTAGATATTGTTCTTAGGGCCAAAGGGGTTGAAGGGCACGGGGAGAGAGCAGGAACAGGGTACTGAGTCGGATGATCAGCCATGATCATATCGAATGGCAGAGCAGGCTCGAAGGGCCAAATGGCCTACTGCTCCTATTTTCTACGCTTCATCTCTCCATTCTTTCATCCTTCCCTTTCGTTCTGACCTCCTCAAGCTCTACAGTTCTTTGGGAAATCTGTGCTTCCCAAATCTGGCCTCTTACGTGCCCACCTCACAATTGGGTGGCCAGGACTTCAACTGCCTAGATCGTATGGCTACTTCCCTCACTAGACCTCTCTACTCCTTTCCACCTTCCTTAAGGACCTCCTTGAAGAGTGATCTCCTTGAGACAAAAGATCAAAAGCTGAGTCAAGTTTTTTAAATTTCATAGAATCTCCACAGTGTGGAAACAGGCCCTTTGGCCCAACACATCCACACCAACCCTCAGAGTATCCCACCCAGACCCACCCCTCCCATAACGCTCCTAATCTACACATCCCTGAACACAACGGGCAACTTAGCATGGCCAATCCACTTAGCCTGCACATCTTTGGACTGTGGGAGGAAACCAACGCAGACACGGGGAGAATGTGCAAACTCCACACAGACAGTTGCCCGAGGTTGGAATTGATCCCAGGTCCCTGGCGCTGTGAGGCAGCAGTGCTAACCATTGCCACCCATTTGGAGAATGGAAATTAATGTGGTAATGATATGATGACGTAAATGATGATGTAACCCTGGCAGTAAGAGTCACTTGCTATGGAGTCTGTAAGAAGGGAGGAATGGGAAAACTTTATGTGGATTATAAGGCAAACTTCACAACGGAGCAGCGTAGACTGGAGTTACGCTTTGGAAACATCCAGAATCCCTGATGCAGCTGAGTCTGTGGGAATCCAAACATCCAGTGGACAACTAGGGACATTTAAGTGACTCTTGGATAGGCACATGGATAAGAGTATAATATAGGGTATGCAGGGTAGTTTGATCTTTGGGTAATAGGTCGGCACAATGTCATGGGCCGAAGGGCCTGTGCTGTTCTATGTTCTATGTTCTAACACCCCTATGTCTGAAAAAACCACTTAATGTCCGAGCTTTTTGAAACACCTGAGCTTAATAGTTACCTGGAAAAGTTAGAGAATTAAAAACCTACTCTAAATCCTGTGTAACTATTAAATTGAACCCCAACTTATCATTGATTTACTCCCCTTAACCTGACAGCTATATCCCTCTGACCCTTGACAACTCCTGAACAAGATACTGCCTTCCTTGCTGCATCTGGTATTTACCAGCAAACTCCCCACTAATAACCAGTCTAATGGTAACCATGTATCTATTGTCACTTGTTATAAAAAATCCATCTGGTTCACTAATGTCCTTTAAGGAAGGAAATCTACTGTTCTTACCTGCTCTGCTCTACATGTGACTCCAGCCCCATAGCATCATGGTTGATTCTTAAACTGCCATCTGGCCACTTAGGAATAAGTGTTGACCTCTGCTCACATCCCACGAATGAATATAAAAAGGGAGTTTGTTTGAGTTCCAGGGAGTCAGACATTGGTGACACTTGGAAACAGAGATGCAGAGTGGACACGGTGGCACAGTGGTTAGCACTGCTGCCTCACAGCACCAGGGACCTGGATTTGATTCCAGCCTCGGGCAACTGTCTGTGTGGAGTTTGCACATTCTCCCCGTGTCTGCGTGGGTTTCCTCCGGGTGCTCTGGTTTCCTCCCACAGTCCAAAGATGTGCAGGTTAGGTGGATTGGCCATGCTGAATTGCCTGTAGTGTTCAGGGAGGTTGAGGGTGTATATTAGGTGGGTCATAGGGGGATGGATCTGGGTGGGATGCTCTGAGGTTTGGTGTGGACTTGTTGGGCCGAAGGGCCTGTTTCCCCACTGTAGGGATTCTAATTCTAGACTAAAGAAAGCAGCCTCTAGAGGATAGGACAGGGCAGGAGCCAAATGGCCAGACCTCACAGCAGGCAGAATCCATGAGGACGTACCATTGCAGGGTTATCCCTATGGTGCTAGGATAATTCATGGAGGCAGCTCAAACTGTTAATATCTCCTTCTTTGACCTGTTGTGGGCAGCACATATAGGAATTGGAATGCTAAAGAGAAGATTAGCCTGGTCTCTGCACAAGGATGACATGCAATTTCATGAAGCATTCCCTATTTTTTTTCAGGGGTTTTGTGGTGCAGTGGTATTGTCCCTGCCTCTGAGCCAGGAGGCCCAGGTTCAAGTCCCTCTGTACTCCAGATGTGTGTCATGACATCTCTGGATCAGTTGCTTTGAAAATATAACTATAGTCCTGTAAAGTACCTTCCCTTTCTTAAAAGTGTCATTTAAAAGCAGGGTGGCTATGGTAATGATTGTAGATGTACTCTTATTACAATTGTTTGTCAGTGAGATATTTGTGTCCTATTACGCTGATGTTTCTCCAAGACCTTATGCTAGGCCACATTGTCACATGAAATTTCTGGTCTTCAAAAATTGCGGCATATTTATAAACTAAGTTCATGTTCTTGCCGTTGGTGGATCTGCAGATGCAATCTCTTTACAGTTCTGAGCAGCAAACTTGTGGGAACACCAGGTCTGAGTGTCTCTCTGTGTCACGGATCACTCTCGCTTGATTGTGCATCGCTGCTCCCACAGCATTTTAGGTCAATGTCCTGTAATTTGCCACTTCTCAGTGTTGTAGCGGAGCTGTCATTGCAAAGTGGTTCAAGGAGAAATCTTGCCACTTTCTAATCCATAAAACAATAAGCAGAAGGAGGCCATTCAGTCCATCAAGTCTGCATTGCAATCTGATGAGATCATGGCTGATCTGATAATCCTCAACTCTATTTTCTGACCTGTTCCCCATAGCCCTTCATTCCCTAACCAATTAAAAATCAGTCTATTTCAGCCTTGAATATATAATGACCTAGCCTCTACAGCTCTCTGTAGTAAATAATTCCACAAATTCACTACCCTCTGAGAGAAGAAATTCCTCCCTATCTCTGTCTTAAATATTTAACCCCTTATTCTGAGATTGAGGCAACTAAGGATGGGCATTAAATTTATCTTTAAAATTGCGTAATCACGAGATTGCGAGGTTGAGCAGGTTGGTTCTTCCAGTGCCTTGTCTGATGTTTGTCTCACAGCCGAGAAACAGATTATCTGGTCACATTGTATCCCGCTTGTCGTGGGAACCTGCTGCATGTTCCCCTTCGTTACAGCGATGATTACACTTCATTTATGAAGCACTTCCAGACGTCATGAGGCCATTAAAAGTGCCTTAAAATATGCTCATGTTAATTATTTATTTCATGGCCTTGGCTGCTGCAAACTGCTCTCTGTTCATCGTAAAGGCTAACGTTTATCCAATTTGTTTAATCCGCACATTTTAACTTTAACGGTCGGCGTGTATTCTACCATTATAACCGGGGCATTTCATAAATGAAGAAACTGCAACTTTAGTAGTGAATGAGACTGAGAGAGAGTCTGAGCTCCATACGACAAAATGTAATTTTCGGATGAAGCAGTATTAGGGATAATTGGGTCAGGCTGTGCAAACATAAATCTGTCCCCATTTTAATGCCAAATGTTCAATTCTAATTTTATATTTCAATTTTACAATCTTATTCCCACATTTAAAAGTAAACTGCCAATATATAAACTTGCCAAAATAATTAGAATCTCCTGTCAGTAATGGCAATGCAGTGGAAGGGTGTAATCCCAACTCAGCAAGTTTATATTGGAAGTTTCCATTGTAGGCATGTGGATTTATAATGAACCCATATTTGACAGTGCACATGGACAGATGTAAAACAGTCAAGATGGATGTTTGATGACTGGTATGGACATGATGGGCTGAAGGGCCTATTTCAGTGCTGTAAAAACTCAAAATTGTTATGACTGAGTGTTTGAACTAGTTTACCAATAATAAATATTTTAAAAATGGACAGATGTAAAATAGTCCAGACCAAAATACTGGAGAAACTCAACAGGTCTGGCAGCATCTGTGGAGAGAGAAACAGTTAATGTTTCAAGTCTGATTTGGCTCCTTCAGAAAAATTAGAAATTTTAAAAATATTTATTATCGGTAAACTAGTTCAAACACACAGTCATAACAATTTTGAGTTTTTACAGCACAGAAATAGGCTCTTCAGCCCATCATGTCCATACCAGTCATCAAACGTCCATCTGTTCTTATTCTATCTTCAAAACAATGTTGGAAGTATAGTTTAAAAACTGAAACAACTGTGGTTGCTGGAAATCAGAAACAAAAACAGAAATTCTGAGGTAGGGTCTCTGGACTCGAAATGCTAACTCTGATTTCTCTCCACAGATGCTGCCAGACCTGCTGAGCTTTTCCAGAAATTTCTGTTTGTGTTTGTGAAAGTATAGAAGTTAGGGCTTTGTGTGAAACATGTTTGGAAGGTCTCAATCCAAATCTTAGTAGCCTACAGCGTCAAACTACCCCAAAGTGAGATATAATGGGCACTGTATTAGGGAGCTCACTGGGCTAGTAATCTAGAGATCCAGCCTAATACTCTGGAGACACAGGTTCAAATCCTACCAGGGCAGCTGGATGAATTTAAATTCAATTAATAAAATTAGGAGATTTGGGAATTACAGAATTTAACTATTGCTGAGGAAAAAAATGTGGAAAATTTTCTTCTTCATTAAATTGTGCATCCTCCATGGTAACACGTCCACCAATCAGAGGACACTTTTCAACCAGTTAGCACTGTCTCCTCATACAGTGTAAATTTGTTTCCCTCTACACAGTGTATTCTTATGAATTGTCCTGATGAGTGCAAGATGAAAAACTTTGTCAGAAAGTGTCTCTTTAGCAGTGATGTTCAAAATCTGGGACATAGATCTAGTCTCAGTAATGGTGATCCTGATTTTCAGTTTTTGTAACAATTCACCTCTTTCACGGATGTTCTTTAAAGATGGGCATGGATCAGACACTCCCTACAGTGCAAAAAGAAGCCATTCAGCCCATTGAGACTGCACCAACCCTCCGAACAGCATTCCATCCAGACCCAGACCCAGTCCCCCCACCCTGAAACCCTGCATTTCCCCCGACTCATCCACCTAGCCTGCACATCCTGGACACAATGGGCAATTTCCCTTGAGCAATCGACCCAACCAGCACATCTTTGGACTGTGGGAAGAAACTCATACAGAGAACTCCATGCCGTCATACAAAGCTGGAATCAAACCTGGGTCCGTGGCACTGTGAGGCACTAATGCTAACCACAGTGCCATCCATCTGCTAAGCCTCATGCCCAGAGCCTATATGTTATTCCAATACTGACTCTGAACTGCTCTCTGAAAGCAAACCACTTGGTTCAACATGGTCCCACCCAGTGGTCTCCACATTCCGTTGGAGAGACAGCGATCAGTTACAAGAATTAAACACATTATTCTGATGCAACACAATGTGAACCTTAGGTTTGCATACTGTGCCTGACTGGGATTGATCAATGCTAGAATTCAGACACCGCCTCACCTTTTATCCCTGAGCACAAGATAGAACTTGTTCCAAACCCATCTGTTAATTTTTACATCCCTTGGACTGGTCAAAATGTGTACAAAACCAAAACTAGGTTCAGTCATTCTTAAGAGCAATCAACTTTAGCAAGGTGACAGAATGAATGTAGCCCAGAAGCAAGAAGATTTTATCTTTAAACAACTTGTATAATCTGATTCAGCAAGGTTGTCTGTGGAATACACAAATGTCAGTTTTACAGATATGATACACATAGGCTGAGCATGCCCTGTCAAGAAAATGCATGCTGGGTTGCGTTTCGTAGAGGAGCTATTGTTCTATATTGTCTGAACATGTACTGGGCTCTGTTTATAACACACTGAGTTATTCACAAAAACCTCAGCTGTTTTTCAGAGATATTTTGTATTTCCTTTTCCTATTTTTTCTTAAAAAGTTCTGACTGCATTCAACAACTTAATGCATTGGGCTTTGTTTTTCACTGATTGGTCAATAGGCTGTGAGAGAGGGCAGTATGAGCTACAGTTTCTCCTGAGTTACCAGCTGCTATAGGCTGACGATTGGCAAGGAGCTCCCAGGTACTGCGGCTGGCGAAGCAGCTGCCACGAGCTGTAGAACTGTTCCTCAGTATATCTCCAGGTTTATAGGTAGTGAGCAGAAGGGGCTGAACTGAAAGAGAGATGATAGATTCAGCTAAACATATTTTTCAGGTTATGAACTGAAGCCTGTGGCAATAAGTTAAAGGATCAGAGCAGAATTGAAAGATGCATCCAGAAAAATTGGAATGTTCTTGTAAAGTAGTGAACAATGTAGTCATGTTCAATGGGACATGGTAGTGTAGTGGTAACCACTGGGCTAGTAATCCAGAAACCCAGGTTAATGCTCTGGGGACACAAATTCAAACCCCACTGTGGGATTTGGCCAGGTTGGGATTGGACTGAAGGGTCTATTTCCGTGCTGTATGATTCTATGGTTATATTTGAATTTTAAAACTCTAGAGTTAAGAGCTAGCCTAATGTAGACCATGCAACCATTGTTGCTTGTAGTAAAAACACATCTGTTCACTTTGGTGGAAGGAAGTCAGCCATCCTTATCTGGTCTGGCCTACATGTTACTCCAGATCCACAGCAATGTTCTTGACTTCTAACTGCCCTTGGGCAAGTAGGAATGGGTGATAAATGTTGGCCTAGTCAGAAATGTGCACATCCCATGGACAACTAAAAAAAACCCACTCCATCAGGATTTAATAAATGGCTGTGTAGGATGTATATTTCCATCAGATTTCATGCATCTTCCACAATTGTCTGCAGCAGCAATGTTAAAATGTAAAGTGGTAGAAAGTGCTTCACAGGAGCTTTATGAAGCAATGTTTGTATCTGAGCCACGTATCCTGATTCAGTCAAACAGTCTGGATGTGAGTATAGGAGTCACGGTTAGTAAGTTTGCAGATCGCAACAAAATAAATGGTGTAGAGGTCAGTGAAGAAGATTATCTCGGAGAACAATGGGACCTTGATCAGATGGACTGATGGGCTAAGGAGTGATGGCTGGAGTTTAATTTAGATAAATGTGAGGTTTTGCATCTTGGTAAGGCAAACCAGGGCAGGACTTATACTGTTAATGGTAGGGCCCTGGGGAGTGTTGCTGAACAAAGAGACCTAGGGGTGCAGATGCGTA